TTTTTGATTTAATAATGTAAAATAATATTTGTTATTTATAACTAGGCACAGTCACAATATTTCACCATTTAGGTAATAATAGTAAAAATAAAGTAAATGTGTACTCATTTAATTCGTTTTCAAATAGATAACCATTTTATTTTTAGTTTTATTCTGATTTCTACATTTGTGAGAGTAGCTCATTATAATTATAATGTAACGTTTCGACTCTGTCGTCGAATTTATATGGTTCATACTAACATGTATTTAGAAAAAAGAAACAGTTAAAATGGTTTTTATTAATCATAAAACATTTTTCCTATTAATAATAATAGATAAATAAATAAATTATGTTGTGAAAACCAAAATTCGAATAACGAATTATTAATAATGCGACAGGAGTATATTTATGGCTACAATATGCCAGTATTAGTTAGATTAGATACCATCTAGTAACACACTTAACTAATATACCCATTATTATACAATTATTAGATTTTATTCTATAAATTTTATAAAATAAGAAAAGTTTACTTTAGGCGATCTATAGAACCTATAGAGTATAGACCGTAGATTCTTAACCTTTTCTGGGCGATGGACCCCTTTGAAGTATANATACTAAGACTCAATACAATATTAAATTATTGTGATTAATCACTTTTTATAATAGTTAAAATAGTTTTTATGGATCTGGATAGAGCAATATTATTTTTTGAAAGCTTGTATTGGAAAGTCTGCTAAATATGCCCATTGAAGTGTCTTCTTTTCCACAGAGCAATTGGCAATTTTATTTAAAAATGCATTTATTTTTTCAGACGTTTTGGACGCTGCTCGTCCTTGAATTGATATTTTTACTTATATTTACTATTGTATATTATAAATGTACAGTTTCTACAAGGTTCATCAAATAATATTATGAATTAATTTCAAACAAATTTATTTTTGGGATATTTAAAAAAAACGTACAGCCACCCCTTGGATACCCGAATAACTATCTACGGACCCTCAAGGGGTCCATGGACCCCCGGTTAAGAACCTATAGTATAGACTATATTTAATAATATTATACTATACCTGATCGACGAATATCAGCTATGCAAGGAATTGTATTTTCTAAATTATTCGATGGTTTTATAGATCTTTTCATTTTTAATATCATTTTTAATTTCATTATTGCATCTGCTTTAGCAGTTGTCTTTGTTGGTCCAACACCTGTCATTCTATGTGTAGCTAAGAACAACAAAATACTGTGATTTTGAAAGTTATAATTATAAATTGGAGGAGACCATGAAGCTTCTGGATAGAGATCGCTAAAATCTTTCAGTATATCGACAGCTGTCAATACATCAATAAATGTCTCATCCATTTTAAACGTTCGATTTTTTAAGTTAGATGTTTTGTTTATAGAGACAATTAGTAAATATTAGTAGTTTCTTCAATCGTCTAAAAAAAATAAAATAAACAATTTATGTTAGGTACATAAATATTACTACTTATTAGCTTAAAAATATGTATTAACTCTTACTTGCTCTTTCTAACTCACAACATAGACCATTTCACATTGAAAGGAATTCATTTTATTGTGTTAACTATTTTAATACTAGAGTGAATAGACCTTTATGTAAATTAAAGGTAGGATCTAGGGCACCTCGATGTTTTTATATTTTAATTTTAAAGCAAGTTATAAGAGAATTTCGAAAAAATTACAAATTTAAAATACTCATAACAAGCTTCAAAATTAAAATATAACAATAATCTACGAGGTGATAGGTATTCTTACCTTTAAGTTTTGTATTGGATCAATTCACTCTAATATTAGAAATAACGGAGTGAAATGGATTCTTTTTACTTTTTGTCTTAACTGTCCATGCTATGAGTTAGTAAGATGAGCACATAGTTTTTACCAGCAGGCACAACGTCCTTTTAAGAAAAGCGCCAAATAACTTTTTTGTATGGGAAATGGTTGTGAAGGGTTCATAGGGAATGAAAATTCCCCGAAACATTAGTATTCACCCAAATCGTACTCAAATCAATAAATACTGTATTTTTTTAGTACTAACTCTTTAGAAAATAAAATAAAACAGATGCACTTACCAAATTGACCAAAATACAGTACGTGATATTCCGTATCGGTTTTTAAATATGACACGACTAAGGAACAATAAAAAATAACGAAAAACAGCCAGACCTTAAATGAGGGTATCTGCCTACACAGGTTTATAATATAATATAGGAGATAGTTGGGTGTTGGCCACCCCACTACTCACCACGGATTAATCAATACACGTTTGACGGAGTTCAAACATTTATCGTCACATGGCGCTGCTGGGGCGCCATGCGCCGGGTTCCACAATTATACACCTATTTTTTTCAGCAAACTAACAGTACAGTATAACTAAATTCAAAAACAAGTGTGCCCCATGTATAAGTTTTGTTTTTATTTTTCGCAATCATATTCAGAATACAGGATGGCCAGTAAAATATATTTTTTAAGTCTAATATTCTAGTAGTGAATTTAAGTACCTACATGATGCTTTCGCTAGTAAAATGAGAACGTTTTCATTAAACAGCTGATTATAATTGCCGTGACCTCAAATGGTGACCGTCGTAAAAAAACTTGATCCATCACAGGACGCCTGTTTGAAATTGATAGTTATTGAATTAATTTATATAATTTTAAAGAAAACCAAAAGGTAAATTAATATGGAGTTAAATCAATAAAAGTAGATTCCGCTCTGCTGTACAGTAAATTACAAATGGGTCTTTGCTATGGATGATGCAAAATTGTTATTCAATGATACAACATCATTATATACGAATACACCTTACGATTCTGAGCAGAGGCAGTCTGTCAGACAGAGTATGTTGTTATATTTTTAATTTTCAACAAAATAATCTTCATTTAATTACCTACCTAATTTGAACTGAAAATAGCAATAATAAAAACTGTGTTTATTCATTTTTTTGGATTTATTGTTGATAGTAAGAACTACGTACGAGACGTCTTGTTTTTAATTTTTAATTTTTAATCCTAAGCGGTAAAAATATACATTTTATAAATTTGTATTCACGAAATAATTTTTTTGCAAATTTTCGAGATTTTGACGAATTTGTCAATTTTTAAAATTTAAATGACTATAAAAATTGTGCTGTTTCTTTAATATTTTTAAATGTTATTATTACAGCTTATGAGGAACTTTGTATTACTTTTTTAAATTTTTGAAACAGCATAAATGTTTTTATTGACATTTATAGAAAAAAATTGTAAAAACTTCAAATTTCAAATCTTTAGAAATAGGCAAATAGCTCAAAATTACTTTTATTTCTATCCAAGATATTAAAACATTTAATTCAAGATTACCACCCATTTTCCTTCGCTGACATGAAGAAGCAATGCCGAATATAGCATACAGTGCCACGCATACATATTACACAGGGTATTGGTCAGCGATGGTGAAGGTGAGTCATGACGGCATAAGTTGGTCTTGGGGGTACCCAAAGTGCACCAATCGATAACTCACATAAAAAAAACAATTTTCTTTCACAGTTGTCAACATAATTTATAAGTAAAACTGTTGTTCAATTATATCTCATCTAAATAGGTAGGTATTTCCACTAAATATTGTGGGTGACAGGGTCGCAAGTTCAATGACAAAACTTGGGGGCGCTAAAGCCTTGAATTATTATGTATTCGATAAATTCTCCAATAGTATTATTAATAAAATTAACTCATTAGCCACAAGGCATATATAAGTGATGGTGTTAATTTCAAAATTGGTTGTGCTAAGCACAACCTAATATTTTGTTAGCTTTTCGAAAGTTGACAGTACTTGCCATTGTGATGACGTTCGTTTACTTACCTCCCGAAAAAGTATTTATAATGTTGATAATTTATTATTTTTGACTTTCATGTAATAAATGATAATTATTAAGCTAAAAAACAACTCTTCTAATAATATAATAATCAATAGTATTTAATAAAGCTTTAATCTTAAATAGAAAAATGCATTGGTCTACAAAGTGTGTCAAAGAATGAAGCTATGCTACAGGAAACATGGTATGCATAGAATAATAATTAACCTAATATTACCTAATGGTTAATACTTATCAAACATTTTACAATTCTACAAGAATCTAATAATATAGTCGAAATAATAAAATTTGGTACTAACATATACATAAACAACATAATATATTAATATCTTGTTAGTAATTTTGATAAATTCTTATATTTGACTAAATAAATACTGTACAATTAATGACGTTCGTTGAACTAAAAAATTTAATTGACTTAATTAATGATACAAAAAAGAAGATTATATCAAATATTTTATAGCAAAGTGATTATTTTTCTAATAATATCATAAATAAATTATATTCAAAAGATCTTCTATCTTAAATAGAGAATTGCAAAGCTCTATAAAATATGTATCTAAAAATAATAAAACCATACTACAGGATTACAGCAAGTAAAGAATAATAATTAACTAACATTTATAATTAGTAATAATTAATAGTAGTACTTAAGTTATAACTTATCAAACAATTTATAATTCTATATAAATTTAATGATGTATATTCAATACCTATAACAAAACTGTATATGAAAAAAACTTCAAGTTACATAATCTTATTCAATAACCCAAAATATGATACAAACAAATTATAAAAACACAGGAACGTCCAATTCTGCTCGACAACGACATCACTCTGCCATAGAAACCGGTTCATCTATGGTAGAGTGTCGCTTGGGGGAACGCGGTGTGTCCAGGATTCATATTTCATAAATTATGTATTTTTTAATCTGTAACATTTATTCAGAGTAGTACTTAATTCATATTAAGATATTATAGACAAGGGAGCAGGGAATATATTAAAATTAAAATTGGAGTGCAAATATACATACTGTATTTATTGTTTACGCAGTAAATACTGTATAAATAACACGAACATCGATAAAAAAAACTACTTAATTCACTACTTTATAGTTAATGTTTTAATATTGTGATATCTTTAATTTATTTACATAATTATACTAGAGATGTACGAAAATTTACCGTCATACTATTCAGCAAAATATGTAAACTGTTTAAATATGTGATATGAATAAAAGTTAATAAGAATTTGAGTAGATACCATTGTTACCACTAAGAATAGTATTTGACATTGAATTTATTATCGAATGTTAGTGATTTTATGTCCGGAGATTGTAGGGGTCTCTTTCCAATCATATTTATATTATCGATAAATGTTGTTTTTTTAAACTTTTTTTGTTTATGTAAAATACTATTCTTGAACTTCTTTATTGCATTTAATTGAGCATTACATTTTTTAACACCTTGACCATGAAATATCTTATTACCCATCCTTAAAACAACCTTAAAATATTTTTTAAATGTAGGTTGTTTAGCTACTTGACAAAAAGGAGACCATATACTATTTCGTAGATTGTAAGTTTCTATAAAACTGTATGGTATTGTATTATTCTTATTGGGGCGATTTTGAAGACATGGAGAAATATCTGGTTCTTCGCTTATTTTCATTGGTGCCAGGTTGTCAGAGCAGTCTAAAAAGGATAAAAAGAATTGAAGGTATTAACTAAGTTTATGAATTTTAAATTTATTAATGACCAAAATTAATAACTCAAGCATAAAATATTATTTATATGATTATTGCTGGGAAATTGCAACATTTAAATATTTTTTTCTGAATATTTCAACCTAACGAGGATTTTTTCCGTCAAAAAACGAATTTTATTTCAGGAAAATTGAAATTAGGGAGATTTTGGTTTTCTCCATATTTATTTCGACCGAAATTATTATTAGTTATTACAGAATCATTAGCCATAATTATAAATATCGAAAAATTTTATCATTTGATAAGTCAAGCATATGTTTCCGGTTTTGGATGTGTCTATCTATATATCGAACCTAAAAAACAATCGAATCATTAATACTCAATTGCCCCTAAATCATTAAATGAGATACATTCTTTCAGGGGCATCATTGGGAGTAAAATCATAGGGTGTAAGCATTTTGAACAAGATCTTCAATTCTGGATCAGTCGGTAGATAAAATAATAAAACTGGTGGAGTAACCAATTGCTCCCCTGTAATGACACTTATGCATGCTATAGTATAATATAAGAATCGATGGTATGGGGGACTGGACAAACAACTCCCTTCGTATTACTGTTTCCAAATCTAAATTAATGATGTTACGATTTACCTGATGGTTCAGTATTTGAACAATGAGATGGATTTCCTTGGTCATTCGATGGTGTATTTCCCACTATAGTTTCTGCTTCATTATTTTGATTATTTATTGCAAAAAAGTTATCGACAGAGCTCGAATAGAACATCATAATTGCGTCTATCTTAGCCTCGTATAGATTACGACCACAACCTTCAAATCGATAATCACCTATATTTAATGCAGTCTTTAAACTGGCATTATCGGATGATTCTAACTCAACGTGAGACCAGTGGCATAAAAACTGATATGCTTTTTCAAAACCACGAAATATACGAAATCTATCATCTTTAAATCGTTGATCAGTATGATTTAAAGTTTTGGTCGATGGCAATGTTGATTCTGCGTTTTCGGAACAATCTATATAATAAAGAATATTTAATGTAGATATTACTATAATATAAGCAATTTAACTGATTAAATTTGTAATATCTTTAACTAGCCTAAAATAATAATTCAAAGTCAAACAGTAAATGTATAATGTTGTGTACTACACAATAATAATTGTAGATACCTATCGTGTCACATACTCACATCCATAACACGTTACTAAGTAACGGTTACTTCCTGTTTATAAGAAACCGGATTTCTCAACTTCATATAATTACTTACACATTATGGGTAATATTTCACGATATGGATATCTTTAAATTTAAACTACTCATAACGAAACAGTTTTTGTCATTTGAATATCCATGTAGCCAAATAAGAAACATTACAATGAAGAAAATTGAAAAAAATTTAGTTTTTTTTAAATTTTATTTATTTGACAATCCTTTACTATTTATTTATCAACTTTAAGACAAGTCATTACTATGCTAAGTTTTTTTATTGGGCATTAAAAAATAATTTTTTTTTTTGATTCTGTAAGTGATTGATAAGTGATTTAGATTTTACAATAATGTGTTTTTTTTAAATATTTTGTTTGATGACACTTTATATCAGAAAAAAATGATTTTTTGATTTTAATCTTTGTGAGTAGTTTTGGTAACAAATGAGATCCAAAAAATTAATTTCGTGGGGTCAAAACTGAATATTTTTTAATGTAATCAGGAAAAAAAATGTGATTTATGTACTTATCTATAGTTAGATATTTATTTTTGGGTAGTTAAAATTTAAAATTAAACTAATTTACTATTGTTGATAATATACTAAACGAAGTAGCTGTAACGTTAGCTGTAGTAGTAATATATAATAAAATATAAAACATAATATAATACCTATATTTATTTTTTTACTGAGAATCTTCTGTCGTATGCAATGATCAATTCAAATTTAACACATCCATTTTATTTCCCGAGATTTAATGTAATATACTCGTACATTCGAAATTTTTGTTTCTTGGTCAAAAAACTTGAAAATGAAATATAATGTTCTTTATAAGTTGTGCGTTTAACAGTATGTGACTTTATGGTGACATAAGTTTACTAAGGATTAGATACCTAACCTAGATATATAATATTATTATACTATACCTGATCTCTGAGTATCCTCAGCAAAATGAGATGTATTTCCTAAATAATTTGATGGTGCATAATTTTTCATCATATTTTCTAGATCACCCATTTGATTATGAATATTGCTAATTTTTTTAGAAGAAATGATGGTTGTGTGCTTCCTTATTGCATCTGCTTTAGCAGCAGTAACTGAAGTTCCACAACCTTCAATGGAATTTACATCTACGTGCAAATAAATATTGAACACTTTTTGGAATTTGTTATGGATCATAGGAGACCATGATACTCGTGGATAGGTCTCACTAAATTTGTTCAGTGTATTTAAATCTTCAAATGTCTCAGCCATTTCAAAACCTTAAATTTCTCAAACTAGATGTTAGATTGATGATACAATTGGTGGTAAGTTTCTGGAACAGTCTATTGTAAAAATAATAAATTAATTTATGCGAAATAAATATTAAGATTTATAAGTTTGAGTAAATAGTAAAGACTCCATTTTATTAAAGCTTAACATAGGAAATTTTACATGTTTACTGATTTTTTAAAGACATGAATAATTTTTGATTTTTTAAATTTTTTTAAAATGACTGTTGATAAATATTTTTTTTGATGAGTAAAAACCGCTGAAATTTAATACGTGATTTCTCATATAAGTTGTTTTAATAGCAGTTCACAATTATTAAAGACACACAGACACAATTTTGTGATTGCCTAAGCTTTTTTTAAGTTAAAATGACGAACCGTCTTCGCCCGGAATCGTTTTTCTTGTACAATGATTTTAAATCATTGAGTTTAAATTTAATACATCCATAACAGTCTGTCACACCGATTCCTATTGAACAACAGTGGTGCCCAGTTGTCCACCTTTTTTACTAGTAAATTCATAATATGCCTTAATATAATATTATAATTATAAGAAAACAGGATTCCTATAAAAAAACATTTTCAAATTCAATATATAAGTATATAACCGAGGAAAGGATCCAGGGAGGACTAAGAAGAAAGCAAAAAGTAAAAAATGTTCAACAATTAACAATTATAATTTATTATATTATACAAAAACAAGTAAATACGCCGAAACGGCTAATTATTGGGGGCATCGCCTACTATCCCCTCCTCATAGCTAAGCCACTGATAAGAAGCTATATCGATGTAACTTGGTTTTAGGGTAGGTGCTTCAATTTACAGGAAAATCGGCAAAGGTGTAACTCGCTTTGATATAATTTGACTAAGATGGGATATCGAATATTTTATTTAGTATATTGTTGGACGTGATTGAACAACCTCCGATACTTTGGCTAAATCGGTCAAGCAGTTTTCGAGTCTATAAACTGCAAACATAAGACTAGTTGTTCTACATTTGAATAACAAATCCTTACTACGAAAATATAATTTTTTTTATTAAAAGTCAGTTATTTTATATATTATTCATTATGTTGTTTTGATTGCCATTGCAACACTAATTGAATACTACCCTATAGGGGTCAAAAAAATAAAATTAAAACATCCTCTAAGATTCAAGAGATCTATTAATTTAACTTTTATTGAAATCGGTTACCTAAATAGTTTCTGAGATTAGCCATTAATAAAAAATTTATCTTACATTTATGAATGGATATATTTAATAGATTATAAGACGTATTATACTTATACATTCAAACCTTCTCCTAGACTCAGCCAATGGATTGATGAAACCCGTATTAAAATCAATTGAATACTTTTCGAGGTACGCGCATGGGCGACATTCGATTGCACGTAATCTACACTCTACCTTTTCTGGGAGGGGGTTGAGTACAAAATATGTTCATGCATCGATACATTTGTACAATTTGATATTTTGTATAACTTGAATTTGTTGTCATAGGATAGCATATCCTATAGGGTGTAATACAGGGCCACACCCTAATATGAATAGTTGTTAACACAATTATAAGCATGGTCTACTGTCGGGGGATTTTGTTTTGAGAACCGCACTAATGAGAATTTGTCCAGAATAGCTAGTAAAAATATACTTTTCCTAAGTTTTTAATTTTCTGGTATGGACAAACGTAGGTGGAGACGAAGATGGGAACTGTATTCACCCAAATAGTGGCCAAATAGATATAATTATTCTAAGTTTTCTTAATGGTCTCTAATGGTATATAAAGTATAAACTTTTAGCCAACTAAAATAATTCAAAGCACTCACCCAATTCACCACTCCAAAATACAAGTTGACGTAAGTCTTGACGATGATACGACTAAAAAACGTTGAAAAATCACTATACAAATTAAAAAGCAACTTGTCAATGAGGGTGGCTGCGAACAAGGTCTTCTATTATGTATATAGAAATGAGGCTGGGCGTTGTCGACCCCACCAGCATAGTTTAATAATCGATAAGCGTTTGACGAAGTTCAAACAGTTATCGTCATGTAGCGCTGCAGGTATACACTATAACTAAAATATTGTTTATTTATTATGGAATTTAATAATTTCTTAAGACCTTTGACTCCTATTATAATTCCCCCATAAAGTGTTTTAAATTAAATGAAATAAATATATTTACAGCAGAAACCGCTTATTAGAAACACGGATAATTGATACAATCGCGTTATTGAAACAAAATGTACATAGACTGACCGGCCGTATATTAGAACATTGAAGATAAATCGGATTATTGGAACATCACATCATTTGAAACGATTGGAAGGTATGTTAATATATTCACCATTTATTCGTGCTATAACCAATGTAATTTAATCCTATCTTTGCTGTCGTTACGTTTATATTTGTACTATACTTTATCTTAAGTGCAGTGCGTTCTATACAATGTGTAAGAATGCTCTTTCCTATACGTATCGTTAGTTCATCATCGGCGTGGAAGATGATTTAAAAGTGTTTCGATATTCTAAAAATATAAATCTAAAAATGTCTAAACGCCAAGGTTTACGTTCTAAACAGAAGTACAAGTTATTAAAATCATAAAACTTGCTTCCAAAAATATATACATTCGTATATATGTACTTTTTAAAAATTATACATATATTTTTCGCGTACTTTTCATTTTTTTTCATAGTACAAATCAAACCAATCGCTTTTTAGAAACCATTGGATAATCGACACATTTCACTTTGGTCCTAAAGCGGCTTTTACTGTATATGAAATAATAAATTGGTAGAACAAATGTATTAGAGGTAAATAATTAATTTTTTAGCAGTCATTTAATGCAATTTCATAAATTTTAAAACAAAAAAATATGTTTTCACTTTTATGATAAATGTTTCAAAAAATAGTTGACAGATATAGTTCAATATTTTAATTTTAAAATACAATCATAAAAGTATAATTATTGTAATTATTAATTATTAAATCAAATATTTATCATAATTGATTATCTTACTGTAACTTTTTCAACAACTTGAATTTAAATTGTTTTTAGGCGGGTAAAACAGTGGCGTATTTAGGATTTTATCATGGGGGGGGGGGGAATACGATCTTATTGTGCTAGCATAATGTGTCTTACATAACTTTATAAAAATATACGATGATAAATCTTCGTATAGTCGGAACGTTACTGAAGGTACACCGTTAAATGAAACTACGCTAAATTCTATACAATTTCAAGGCGGAAATGCGAGTCAAGAAGCATTTCATGTGAGGGAGCTTTTTACAGATTTTTTCAATTCACCTAGTGGAACAGTTTCGTGGCAAAATGAATACATTTAATTTTAATTTTTATCTTAAATATAAATAAAGACGTGTAGTTATTATTATTAATTATTATTTATACATTTAATATAGGTAACTAACTAAGCAGATACCTCCTAAGTATATTATTATATTATATATTAAAAATCTATAGACTTAGAAAAACTACAGTTTGTTATTAACAATAAAATAAGAAAAACAATTTAATAATTTGTTTTAAAATTTAAAAATGTCATTTTGTAATAATATACGTTATTTAAGCACAGTATTGATATTAAGTTATTTGAAATAAATAGTTACTTAATTATTACTATATAGGACATAGGTATAGTATATTATGTATGCATTATAACTGTTTAAATAATTTTTTTTAAATATACCTGGTTGGTTTAATTCTTCGACTATAATATTCCAAGTACGATCTTTCCAAGTGCAATAGCTATATTTTTTCACTGAGATCGTAGAGCCTAGAGTGTGCACATTCAATTAATTTTTCAGCGTTTATTTTAAATTTTATGACTATAGTGAAAAACTGACAACTGATAGTAATACTGATGTACTGCACTTGGTAACTGAACTGCAGTGTAGTAACAGAACTAATAAGTAATATTCATAGCAAAATACGAAAACAAAATGTGATTCTATCCATATCCGGCCCGGCCACACATTCCCACTACAACGATTCAAAGAAATATCCGGACGGATACCAGTGAAAGAATCGTCGCGAAGAATATTTTTAGCGCCCGCCCACGGCCCGTTTCCCCGTTCTGTCTCTCTCCGGACTAATATGAACGTTTATATTTCAAAATACAGGAACAATATTTTTTCCAGGCACGGACGGGTTCCGGACGGATTCCCGTCCGTCTCCATTTCGTCGCAGTGTGAATAGACATTAGATTGAAAAAAAAAAAACCCAATGATCCCCTCCTCCTTGTAAATACTAGGGTAAGATAATAATGGTACTTCATTATTTTCATAATATTGGAAATCTGAAATTAACTCAGATTAAAGGTATACCAATTTGGGCCCTGACCTTAAACCTATATTGATACTGACTATTTATGTAAATAACTAGCAAATGGTTTATTTTAGGTCATGCGATTGTTAAAATATTATTACAACATTATTTTAACTTACGATTACTTGGATGAATTAAGAATTGCAAAGCAAAGTGTTTGGTATAATATACTGTATATTAAAAAATCTAAAATATAAAACAATTGCAATGCATTTTGTTTAAGATTTAGGATAAGGTGATAAAGATAGACTGTTGGAATTCTATAAGACCATTTTGGAAAAAAAGGGATCTGGAACATGCAGATTTAATATACCATAATAATATGTTTAGTGAAGAATTTCCATTTTTACTATTTGAAGAAATGGGCTCTCGAAACTATCGTTATTGGTCTGGCTTTAATACCTTGTATACTGAGTCAAGGATTTTCTCGATATATTTTTTAATTCATTGGATTCCTTACTTTATAACTTATAAGCAATTATGATTTAAAATAAGCCATTCATATTTACATAAATAGTCAATATCTTTATAGGTATAGTAAAACTTATTTACGACGGACCCTCAATAGACGGAAATATCTTTACAACCTATAATAACAACAAGTACCGTATAATCTATATTCCGTATATTTTAGTCTATACAACGGAAACTTCTTTATAACGGATAGGTATTTGATACCAACCGAGGTACCGAGCTATTCCGTTATAAGTAGGTTTTATTGTATCTAACTTTTTTTCTTTGATCTCAGTTAATTGTATATTTCCATTTTCCTATGTAAGATATTATCATAACAATAATCGAATACCATCATTACCTAACCTAAAATAAATTCAAATTTATGCTATTCAGAAAATTAATTGTGAAGAAAAAAAATATTAAGTTATCAAACAAAAATGATAATAATGCGATATTAAAAATTTAGAAATAGCAATAAAAAAATGTACAGGTAACGAAAAAACCGGTTTTTTTTAAATTCCATGTGATCGATCCATAGCATAGAGTATAGACCTATACAGGGCTGCTTCCGAGTTCCGTCCCAAGAATACAAATATAATTTGAAGATAAGATACTATAGTTTCTTCCCGGGTTTTTGAAAGGATATACTAATTCCTTCTAGTATTAACATGAACTTAACAATACCATATTATTTAGAAATAAAGATAATATGATTTTAGTCATTGAACCAAATGAACTTTTCATTCGTTATTAATTGTGTACGTCCATGCTATATTTAAATATTTGTTTTATATTGAAAATGGATGGCATAAAAAAAAAATTATGAAAAAGGTAATATTTTAAATATTAAAAATTAAACAATGCAAAGCATTTTAAATATTGGTAAGATATGTACATTTATAATAATTAAGTTTTTATAATAATTAGAGATCGAATTTTAGGTTCATAAAAGCTTAAAATATGATGCTCATATGCTCTAAAAAAAAAACGCTAAAATATTCCTTCATATTCCTTAAGCTTGTAATTATGCAGATAATATGAATTTTTAAGTATCAATAAAAACAATAAATAACAGGTTATACATCGGCAAAAAATAAAGAAATTGTCTTTAAAAATTTAGACCACAACCATGATAAAACTGAAGAAATTAAACTAAAGACATGTAATCGTAACCGTGAATCGTGACTCATCAAAAAAATGGTTTGGAAAAAGCTGGTATAGACAATAAACTTTAAAATTGTATGATGTAATTCCAGAATGTAACTCGAGCCTCCAGTTGCCCCCCCCCCCCCCCCATGGTATATACCTTTTTTAAACTAGGACAGAATAGGTTAATAACTTTTTTTTAATAGGGACGGGATTGGTCCAAAAAAAGGTTCTTGGGACGGAATTCGGATGCAGTAATATAAAAATATGGGCCGATCATAGGAAGAGAAGTTCGAGGACCTAGATTGTTAGTAAGACATAAAGCCAAATTTGGGATACCTATAGATAAAACAGTTTATTTTTATTTTTATTGAACTTGAGCCCGGCGACTATAAGGCCATTAGTTTGTGGGGGTTATAAACTGTGGTAGGGGTAAGGTTGGTACTGTAGGTTGTTTTTACGATTGTTAGGGTTGTTACGGTAGGTAGAAAACACGTGTATATGTGGCAAGGTTTTGAACTACTATGAACCCGGGTGGTCACCCATCCGGGAGCTAGTAGCTGTGGCCGTTACTTACTCCCAGTCGCATTCCGCGACTGGTAGCAGCCAACGTGCCACGCCAAGCCACAAAACAGTTATATCATGGAAATGTCGGTATCACTTAATAAAAATGTTATCTTATATTCTTATAATCAAAATTCAGTAAAAAAGTTAGAATATACATATTTGGAATTTGTGTATGTTTATGTTATATTAGGACTAGAGCTGTGAATTTGTAGGAAAGTGCATTTTTTGGTGATTGTGAAACATAGTTTTGTAAGTACATAATTTGAATTATGTAATGTTGTACGAATCCATTTATACAAATTTTAAAAAAACTGTTAGCGAGTTTTAAGATTTTTAGTTGTTTTGGTCATATTTTCCTTTTTTAGTTCATTTTCCAGTATTTTTAATCGGATTCCGTCGATTGACGAGTAAAATGTTTTTAAAAAAATAATTTGTTTTTATACACAGGCTGTATATACGTCGATAAAATAAGGCAATTTCTAGATAACATAAGTTATTTTTTAGTTATTTATTACTAAAATTTTTAAACAATGTTTCAGGTGAATAGCATTAACTATTAAGTAAGTATAGAAAATTCAAATTCAATCAATGTTTTTATTTTTTTTTTTTTTATTTAATAAACACTTTTTTATGCATGTAATGAACTAATGTATATTATCTGTACCTAATATTAGTATAAATATAAAAACTAAATTAAAAACCATTTTAAATGAATCTTATATTATAATTTTTGGCATTTTATAATGCAATGTATTTTTTGCATTTTAAGTGCATATTTTTGACATTTTTAGGGTTCTTTAATGCATTAAATTCACAGCCCTAATTACGATATACATATGAATTATTTACAAATTTACAATTCTAATATATTATTCGGGGTTTTTTTTATCGTATTTATTATTTAAAAAGGTTTTGCGTTTTTTCACTAATTTATATTTAATTTTGTTATTAATTATTTTATATGAATATTCAATCATACAGCGCTATCTATGCGTAATTGCTTTGGTTTTTAATATGAATTTTCCATCGTCAGATCTCTTTTTAAGACGATTGATTTCGTTAAGTGTGGCAGTTTATCGTTGGCATTATCGTATTGTAATTGTATATTTTTTTACCAATCACAAGGTTAATAGTACTTGTCAACTCCGCACTCGATAAAAACCATAGATAATCAAAACATGAAAAGGTCCATGAATATAATATTTAGAGGAAGGACACCGAACACGACCCGGTAGGAGCGAAAAAATATGATCCGCACTGATCGCTTCTGCCAGAATGCGTCTTGGACATTAATGATGTCATTTTTACAATATGTAAAAGAGAGAAATTTAGAGGAAATTTATTGGTTATTATTATTATTATTATTATAATCTAAATAATGAAACTTATGAATAGATAATTACTATAAAACGTTTTTTAAGACCAAATCGTCCCCGGTAGAATAAAAGTGTTTCCAAGAATATAACATGTGTGTATACGACTTCTAGACTAAAAGATATGATTGTTTTTAAAAAATGTTCTCGAGTTTTAAATACGTTCTCACAAGTAGGCATTCAATAACTATGAGGTTAAAGCTGCTTTCACGACAGGGACAATAGCTGCTGCATTGTGGGCCTTCAATTATTAAATAAAATAACACGTCTGAATAACAATGCTAATATACGGTTATTGGTTTTAGTATGCATTAATTATATACGTGTACAGTATGATTTTAATAATAATATTCTAGAAGTAACAGCGTTTTTTGATTATAATATAAAAACTGACAGTTTGCCCTAATATAAAAATAAAAATATAATAATAATAAATTTGGCCCTTCGGATGATGTTTACGTCTTGTGGTATACAGTTGATCACTTACCTTTACCATTATGATACAAAGTGGTACCAGAGATCTCTAATTATAGAATTTTTAAATACGATAAAAATATTACACTCACAATAACAAAGCTAACCATGTACGAACAAACAATGCACGAGCACACGAAAAAAAAGGATGGCTGCAGCATAATATTTACAGCATAA